TTCTTCTTGGAGAATCTGTATAAGGCTAAAATGTCTTAATAAAGGTTTCTTTTGTATAACGACATTTGAAAATTATCCCGCATGTGTTTCTTTTGAACGAAAAATCGAAATTATAATCGAGTAATGGGATGGGAATCCCTTGACACTTTTATTTTTCCGTTTATCATTACTCTACACAATTCATCTCCTTTCATACTTCATCCCTAAGGTTAGAAATAATCGTTATTTCTCCTTAAAATAAATTTCGATCTTTTGTTCAAAAGAAACACATGCGGGATAATTTTCAAATGTCGTTTTACAATCATAAGCTGCATTATATTGTATTATAAAGCTTTTTATTGTTGTTGTGATATAGAAGACCCCTAAGTATACTGTCCATTTCCCCGTGTACAACCGACAACAACCCACCAATCAGATAGCGCTAATGGAGTTCTGCAGAGAAATGTTGTTTTCTACAAGATGATGGATAGAAAGTGCTAATTATCCAAGATAAATACTGTACAACACCTCTTCTATTTACACTATGTAAATAGAATCTATAAATAGAAGGAATGTTTCTTCTCCTTTTTTTGATCGATTTCTTGTCTCAGACATCTAATAAACCGTGTTCCAATCCACGCAGATCCTCCTGTTACAGGTCCAGTTCAACTGAGGTGGAACATTGCCATTATGATACACAACCTTCACTATATAATGGATTGTTTCTACCACGTCCATTTAGAATTAACTGCCTTCAAAATCAAGTATTTTAAAAGCCTATTTTGAAAAATAAAATCGATTTAATACATTTTTTTTCTATGAGATTCATTATTTACCCTCAATCTTCCTGCATACGCTTGAGTATTAAAGAATATATATAAGGATAAAATATTATTTTTATCTCTTTTTTTTTTTATCTTTCTCTCTCTTTATTAATTATTGTAATATTTTTAATTAAAATTAATTTGTATTCAACCTTATATATATAACCTTATATTACGATACACTTACAAGCGTGCTATCTGTTATGAGAATTCGAAACTACAAGGTGGGATCAATAAATAAGGTGAATTATAATTTATAAAAAAAAATAAGAACGATATTAAAAATTAGGACTTGAATTATTTAAAATAATCACCTTGGCTTTCTATACATCGTCTCCATCGTTCTGGCAACTTGTAAATACCCTCTTTATAGGCACTCTTAGGAAGCGTGTGAAAAAAATCTTGCACCACTTTCTGGACATCTTCATCCGAGTCAAATCGCTTTCCCTTTAACTCCTTCTTTAGTAGTCCAAAAAGGAAATAGTCAGAGGGGGCTAGGTCTGGACTATATGCAGGATGTTCTAAAACTTTAAAACCTAATTTAATGATTGTAGATACAGTTTTACATGATGTATGCGGCCTTGCATTATCATGAAGGAAGAGAACACCTTTACTAAGCTTCCCTCTTCTTTTGTTTCTTATACCGGGCTTTAGCTTATTTACAAGAATGTCACAATAAAGGTCGCTGTTCATACGTTGCCTTGAGGATAAAAAATCAAGACAGATTGGTCCATCAACATCCCAAAAAATTGTTAACAAAACTTTACCGGGCGAACGTTGAGACCTGAGGAACATGTAATTCGTCCATTTTTGAACTCGTTAACCCATTTATAAATGTTTTTTTGAGACAAACAATAATCACCATAGATATTTTTCATTCTTTGGCATATTTGAGATTTTTGAATACCTTCTGCATTCAAGAAACGAATAACTGGACGTTGTTCAAGCGTGGTGCAATCCTTCAAGGGAGCTTCCATTTTAGTTTATTTATAAGTCTCGCGCCGCGCGTGGGAAAAAAGAACAGAACACCTTAAATAGTCTTTCGATGTTATATTTTAATATTCTGTGGTTTAAATTATTTTTGCTTTTTTAATTTTTAAGAAATAAGATAATTCACCTTATTTATTGATCCCCCTTTGTATTATAGACTCATATGATCTTTTAAAAATTGAACAATTTTCTACTGTCCATACTGCGAAACGGCCTTCCCATTAATTTTTCCATTGCAGTAAGGACAGTAGAAATTGCTTAATTTTTAAAAGAATTATACACGTCTATAATAGTTTCGAATTTTCATAATCTTATATTATACATAGCAATAACGCGCCGTCTATATAATACAAATGAAAACACCAAAACGCGAATGTTTCTTTTCACAAATAATTCAAAATTCTATTGCAGTACGGACAGTATAAGTTTGATATATTTGTGAAAAGAAACATTCGCGTTTTGGTGTTTCCATTTGTATTATAACCTTATATAACCGTTGAATTAAAGTAGTTTCAATCCCAATCTCTCTTTCATCTCCTTTGACTTCAATGATTCATTCATTTTTTTAAAATCTATTCTCAATTGGATAATAGCTACTCTCCCAAAATAGTCACCGAGCTGCTTTCATCTTGCCATTCTTGAAGCGAAGACTTCAGTCACAGACAGAAGTTTCTGTGTAGGATGAAAGACACCCGTCCAGTTGATATTCTATAGAACTGCGGATAGCTCTATTGATAACAACGCAGCACAATTTGATAAAAAGATTCAATTAGGAGAAAAACTTTCGTTTCTTAAAGGTAGATACGTATATTTGACATGTTATAAAATAAATAGAGCTTCCAGGGTTAAGTTTCTTGTTCAAATTTTTACTTTCAAGCTTTCGGACTTGTCAGTCCTTCAACAGGAGTATCATGATAATAAATTAATGATATATACTATTTTATATACAAATTAATTTTTACATATTTAAATATTAATGATATTGAAAGGGGGAGAAAATATATATTACATTATTATTTATTTAAGTAACCCAGGTTCCTGGAGCGTACAGAAGTATATTACATTATTTGTGTGTTATAAACAATTTTTGAAAATATACATGCATGGGTGGAGGATACGTGCTAGTCGAATGATATCTCGAGATCTCAAATTAAACCCAATAAATTCGTGAACTATACCGTGGTATATACGTGGTATATATATTTTTGACATATGGATCTCTATTCTTTCAATATATCTTTGAAGGAAAGAGTTTCACTGAATAAAGGTTGTCCATTCATTAGAAATAGGGACACATCGTCCTGATAGATTTTTTAAATCTTCGATCCCTTTCAGCACAAATATTTTATCCTTGTTTGGATGACTTTCTTTCTCTGTGTGTGAAGAACATTCATACGATAATTAAATAAACAGTGGTTCATGGATAAAATTTGACTTTTGTCATGAAGATACGCTCTTTGAACTACTCTGTCTCTTTATTTAGTGAAATTACTTAAAATTCTAAATAGGCTGTTTATTAAATGTTCTATTTTAAAAGCATTTTTTATATAACTTGTCTCCATGTCTGTTTGTCCACATATCTTTTAATATACACTCATGGACAAAACTTAAGGAAACTTAAGGCTTGCACCACGCTGATGAGGGCCAACAGCCCAAAACGCGTCCGTGGTTAGCTTTTCTTGATTAATCAAGAATGGATATTTGGCCAATTCTGGAATAATTAGAAATCAACGAGAATAGTTGATATTTATTCCGATAGATGGCGCAAGCCATCAGCAACTTTCAGTTGCACGATAAGGAGATGCCTTTTTTTCTTAATTTATGCACCTTATCCCAGTACAATATCACATTTGTACTATTTTTAAATTTGTCTCTGTCTTCTTTTTTTTTTTTAAATAACAGACGACTTCAAAATATGCAACTTCCTTAAGTTTTGTCCATGAGTGTAAACTAAAATACGTAGTTAACATAGATTACTTATATAGTGTTTATTGATGCACACACAGTTATTATAAGATTTATCTCAAGGAGAAATCTGAAGTATTTCCAATTTAAGAAAAAAACTTACTTGACGAGACTGCAACTGCAACAAATGAATCATTATTAATAACAATATTTCACGCAACTACATTTCGCACTATTTCAAAAAGTTTTTTTGACTAAAATTGAGATTAAAACATCTTTATTACATTGCTCATATATGGCTATATAAGGTTAAATACATAAATATGAGTGATTAAGATTATGTAATGATAAATATATATGAATAATTAAATGTAAATACATATAATAATTGACAAATATACATATATACAAAAATATATACAAGTTCTTTATTGAGCAAAATTGAGAACAACTATTATTTATAAATCTCTCTATTATCCGAAAATTTAGCTTTAAAGTGCGTTTTATCTAAAAAAAAAAAACAAAGATTACCTCTCCCGTCAAAATAGACACAAAACCTAGCGCCATATATTAGCCGTCTCCGCAAACTATCGGACTCAGGTCGGTGACAAAGCCACACTAACAATTAGGGATACTGAGACCATACCTGGAGACCATGGTTTCGGGCTGGTAGCTCTCGTCAGTCCAGGGCAGGGCAAAACCATGGTCTCTAGGTTGGCGCTATTCAATTTACCAACGCTGGTGTTGCGGCTTTGTCACAGACCCGAGGTCGCTAGTTTGCAGCGACGGTCAATAGATGGCGTCTAGTTTTGACGTCTATTTTGACGGGAGAGGTAATCTTTATCTTTATAGATCAGTATCCCTACGGAAAAAACAATCCATCTGAATATTTAAAAATCCCAATATATTATATATAATGGTTGTTTATTTATATGAAAAATAGACACTTCGGCCAGTTAGAGTTTTAATTTTCTCAACGTTTCGACAAAAATATGTTGTTTACGTCAGGAGAAGTAAATAAAATAAAATACTTCTCCTGACGAAGACAACATATTTTTGTCGAAACGTTGAGAAAAATAAAAAAACTCTAACTGGCCGAAGTGTCTATTTTTCAAATAAATAGGAATGACGGCCAGGCAGCTTCTATCTTCAGCATAAAGGTTGTTTAAATACGGATTGTTGTAATCGCACCACATTTCTAGGTATTGATAATAAGAGTAGAAAAAAGAAAGCATTTTTAGGCAAATAAAATTTGGTCTATTTTGAAATGAGGCAAAACTTCAGTAAAGGGTTTTTTTAATGATCCATTAGAGAGGATCGAACCCACGACCTTCCGCTTACCGGGCAGATGCCATGTCCACTAGGCTACCCTGGACATATCTTTCCGTTCGTAAATATTATATAAAGTAATTTAAAATACAATATAACGCGGCTGATGATTGTAAAACGAAAATTGCAATTATACCGCGAATGTTTAAACAAAAATCGCGAATGTCTTTTAAACAAAAATCGAAATTTATTTTAAAGAGAAATAACGACTATTTCTAACTTTAAGGATGAAGTATGAAAGGGTGAAAATATGGAGAGTAATGGCGAACGGAATGTAGTTTTAAAAACATTTGCTGATTGGAAGTTTTTTGAAAAGATGATGTAGCTGCATTAAACTTTCTTGATTTATTTACGTGACGATGTTTCGGTGACTCACTTTGTAAATAAAGTAAACCAATAATTAGAAAGTAAAAGAATGATTCTTACCGCCTTTTTTTTATCAAATGTTTTAATTTTTGTTTGTTCCTGACGAGGACAAAATATTTTTGTCGAAACGATAATAAAAAGATTTACTGGCCGAAGTATTTTCAATTTTAAGAACTATGAATGCCGGCCATGCAGCATCTATCTTTACGAAAAGTAAAATAAGACCCTGGTTGGTACATCGTTTTATTTCATATAATGAAAGAGGAATACATACTGAATGATTGAAATTCCTTTTAGAGTAAAAGTGGACATGGTCCTCTATAAGTTAACATTTGAATACATCGATAGGAGAAAGTATAAATTGTGATAAAAGAGATCTCTAGTGGACACAACCCTCATATTTCTTTCTTTATTCACCGCGTGATTTTTTTCTTTTACAAATAAAACTCTTCCTAATGCCTTATTGCAATGGAAAAATACCCCAATAGGAAGGATAATAGGAAGTATTTTATCTGTTAATGAGAAAAATCCATGTTATACATGGCATCATTATATATAGTTGTATGGCTTGTACATAGGTTTCTATGCAATCATACCTTCACCTGTTAACTGGCGGAAACCGCTGGGAAGTAGGTACGCCAATGATTAATCTTTCAATCATTTTCTTATGACGTCTAGTAATTGTAGAAATTGAATTACTTTGAAAATAATATTTACATTAAAATAAATTTAAAACTTTCAAATGACGCTACGTTTTCTATAACAGCGGTGGGAATGGTCGAATAACAGCAATTGAACCAGATAGACATCTCCTAATACTGACAACTACAGCCTGATATGTATTCCTTACTTCCTTGGTTATTTTCTAGTGGCCTATATTTATTTATTTGTTTGTACTCTTATTAGATATATGTTGTAATATATTCCAATATATATCTATGTCTCCATGTATTGTATAGATGTATATGTAATTGCCAAATAAAATCGAGTGAGTTACAGTCGGCGCCGGAAAGCCGGAAAAGGGTCCGAAAAACAAGTCGGGTATGTCCCCTTCTTACGGAAACAGATTAGTCCGCTTTGAGACACGATTGACAGTTCTCCCCTGACCGGCGTCGGCTACACGCACTCTCTCGCCATCTCCGTGGTGACATCTACGACGTCTCGTTCTTTGGTGCAATACATTCACGCCTGAACTCACTCTAACATTGAGGCCACAACGACTGCATTTGACCAACACACTACAGTCATCCAACAGGATCGACTACCTTACTACATATATATATTAAATGTTTTGTCTCCTATGTATAATAGTTAATATGTAAAAAATAATATTTTTATATCTATAGAACTTCATAAAAATATACAATATAGTATCCGATTATATTTAACCCGTGTTCTATTGAGGTATCATTATACCATGTTTTCTCCTGTAGAAGGGCGTCCGTTCTCGAAAGCTAGAGAATAAAAATGTTTTGAAAATATACTTTTCCCTGGAGGAATGATTAATTTTACTCAGTATTGAAGTAAGGAATTATTTTATAGAAATAGGTTATTCTCGATGGGGAAACATCAAAGTGAACCAACCAATCATGAATTGAGAGGAACAAAGATTGAGTCGGTCTATTTCATAGTTTCCTGTTTAGCCAGGACAAACTCACCCTAATGGCCCCCCGCTTCATTAGACAGCAAGGAATCCCAACCATCACCCGCCGTCTTACGGAATGTTAGACTTCAAAGAGAATCTTTAATGTTGCAAGTGTTAACAGCTATAATGTTGCAAGTGTTAACAGCTATAATGTTGAAAGTGTTAACAGCTATAATGTTGCAAGTGTTTTGTTAACAGCTATAATGTTGCAAGTGTTTTGTTAACAGCTATAATGTTGCAAGTGTTTTGTTAACAGCCATAATGTTGCAAGTGTTAACAGCTATAATGTTGCAAGTGTTAACAGCTATAATGTTGCAAGTGTTAACAGCTATAATGTTGAAAGTGTTAACAGCTATAATGTTGCAAATGTTTTGTTAACAGCTATAATGTTGCAAGTGTTAACAGCTATAATGTTGAAAGTGTTAACAGCTATAATGTTGCAAGTGTTTTGTTAACAGCCATAATTTTGCACGTGTTAATTGCTTTAATGTTGCAAGTGTTTTGTTAACAGCTATAATGTTGCAAGTGTTTTGTTAACAGCTATAATGTTGCAAGTGTTTTGTTAACAGCCATAATGTTGCAAGTGTTAACAGCTATAATGTTGCAAGTGTTTTGTTAACAGCTATAATGTTGCAAGTGTTTTGTTAACAGCCATAATGTTGAAAGTGTTAACAGCTATAATGTTGCAAGTGTTTTGTTAACAGCTATAATGTTGCAAGTGTTTTGTTAACAGCTATAATGTTGCAAGTGTTTTGTTAACAGCTATAATGTTGCAAGTGTTTTGTTAACAGCTATAATGTTGCAAGTGTTAACAGCTATAATGTTGCAAGTGTTAACAGCTATAATGTTGCAAGTGTTAACAGCTATAATGTTGCAAGTGTTAACAGCTATAATGTTGAAAGTGTTAACAGCTATAATGTTGCAAGTGTTAACAGCTATAATGTTGAAAGTGTTAACAGCTATAATGTTGCAAGTGTTTTGTTAACAGCCATAATGTTGAAAGTGTTAACAGCTATAATGTTGCAAGTGTTTTGTTAACAGCTATAATGTTGCAAGTGTTAACAGCTATAATGTTGCAAGTGTTAACAGCTATAATGTTGCAAGTGTTAACAGCTATAATGTTGCAAGTGTTAACAGCTATAATGTTGCAAGTGTTAACAGCTATAATGTTGCAAGTGTTAACAGCTATAATGTTGAAAGTGTTAACAGCTATAATGTTGACAGTGTTAACAGCTAAAATGTTGCAAGTGTTAACAGCTATAATGTTGCAAGTGTTTTGTTAACAGCTATAATGTTGCAAGTGTTAACAGCTATAATGTTGCAAGTGTTAACAGCTATAATGTTGCAAGTGTTAACAGCTATAATGTTGCAAGTGTTAACAGCTATAATGTTGCAAGTGTTAACAGCTATAATGTTGCAAGTGTTAACAGCTATAATGTTGCAAGTGTTTTGTTAACAGCTATAATGTTGCAAGTGTTAACAGCTATAATGTTGCAAGTGTTAACAGCTATAATGTTGCAAGTGTTAACAGCTATAATGTTGCAAGTGTTAACAGCTATAATGTTGCAAGTGTTTTGTTAACAGCTATAATGTTGCAAGTGTTAACAGCTATAATGTTGCAAGTGTTAACAGCTATAATGTTGCAAGTGTTAACAGCTATAATGTTTCAAGTGTTAACAGCTATAATGTTTCAAGTGTTAACAGCTATAATGTTGCAAGTGTTAACAGCTATAATGTTGCAAGTGTTAACAGCTATAATGTTGCAAGTGTTAACAGCTATAATGTTGCAAATGTTAACAGCTATAATGTTGCAAGTGTTAACAGCTATAATGTTGCAAGTGTTAACAGCTATAATGTTGCAAATGTTTTGTTAACTATAAGATATTAACGCGTCTTATACGTATAAGAAAAGAAAGCATTAAAACATGATTTTTTTTCAATAAAATAAACTTCTATTGTCTTTATATTTTCATCGCAGTAAGAATTGTAGAAGTTTGTTTTATATTTAAATGATAAACCTTCATGTTTATTTAATACTTTCACTTCTTATATAACTCCGCCTTTGCCAGTCCCAAGCCCGGATGAAAAAGGAGGAAGGGGAGCAGTAACAAGCTCACTACAAACATGGGTTCAGCTGGTCCGGCTGATAGTACCCTGTAAGGGCTCCTAATCCAGGGATACAGGATGAGCAGCGTTTGTACTCCATGTTAGGAGCGGCTGTACATGGCATCTGTTCCTCATGTCAGAGGCGGCCATTTCTTTTGGATCTAAGTCGGTCTGCCACTGAGTAATGCTCCCAGTCTTAATGACAAAGACATTCTAACTTCACCCAGTCATGAAGGTTGTCAAACAGACACCATTAAGGGTCACAACTTGATATCCTAATATGATTGAGTGGAGATAAGAAAGAAGAAGAAGACTTCTTATATTAACAGTTATGATACTGTTTCTGGTGTACAATTATCTTTTTTATTGAAGGCAGCTTACTAGTTGGAATATTTCTGTAACTGAGAGGGCTCACAACTGTTTGAATCTGTCCATAGTATGCTTGTTGAATAGGGGATAGGTAAATCTATTTATAAATTACTTTAATATATTTGGAAAGTTCAGAGTAAGGGAGCGTGACTGGGCGATACTGACAGCCACTGCACAAGATTGGCCGCAGAACGAATAGCCACCATGGCAACATAATATCAAGTAAATTAAATTTAATTGCCATCTATCGTTAAAATTTTACACAAATAAATTTACTGGCAATGTGTTTCTTTTAAATATCGTTAAATATTATCTCTACAGACCTTACTGCAATGAAATGAGTTATTGATTGAGAGGGCTTGGCTCATCAGTAGTGAACCCTCTCAGCGGTTTCGCCAAAAAAACTTATGTCAATAGTTCACTAAACACCCCTAAGCTGTCTTCCATAGAAAATACAGGGTATATTCCAAACCAATCCAATACAATAGTAGAGCGGTCTAGAGATTAATTTGGCGAAACCGCTGAGAGGGTTTACTACTGATGAGCCAAGCCCTCTCATT